TTAATAAAATTTTTAATAATTTAATTTTAAATATTTATTATTAATAAAAAATATATTAAAAATTGCTATTTTATATTTTATATAATGTTACACAACTTTGTACAACCTTAATTACCTTAAAAATACTGCATAGAATTTTATAATCTTTTTTTTATTTAAAAGCTTTATATTTAATAAGTTTATTGTATAATTTTTATTCTAATATCTTTTTTAATTAGCTTGTTATAAATTTTTAAAAAGTGTTTACAATAATATGATAAGTAGTTGTATATGTTTATTTTCATCATATTATTAGTTATTTATCATTTTTATGTTAATAGAACTTCTGTGATGTTGCTTTTAATTTAATAGATATATTCTTATTTTAGATTAAATAAATATTGATGATTCTTTAATGAAAATAAGTTAGAATTATTATGTTTTGCAGAAATTCAAAACTAAATAATAAGATAACTGAAAATAAAAAATCAAAAAAAACACTAACTGTAATAATGTAAAAGAGTTTATATTATATAAAATAATATATTTAACTAAGTTTTTATCTTTATTATTACTCAAATATAACTTAATAAACATTTTTCTGGTTGTTGTTAAAGTTACTTTTTTGATAACTTTATAAACTTTTACTAAAGATCCAAACCTATAAGAAGTTATTTTTTCAACTTTTTTTCATATTGCTTATATGCAATCTAAAGCTTTTAAACTCAGATGTTATATTGCAAAACTTTGTTAAGTATAAATATACTAACTATATAATATTTTTAGATTAGTATATATAAAAAAAATTGATATAAGAAATTATTAAAAAGTGTGTATTTTTTATTTTAAAAATTAATTTAAATTATATCAAAATTAATTAAAACTAAGCTAAATTAAATACAATTGTTAGATTTAAATTCTATAACTTAGTAGTAAGCTTCTAAATTCTATACAGATAAGATCAATAATTTGAGTCAAACTAAAGTCAATTTTGTCTTTATAACTTATTAGAACTATTAATAGAATGTAAAACTCTGTTAGAAAAGTTTAAGTACAAGTATGAATTTAAAATAAAGGAATTCTCAGAAAGAAACACAATTATAAAATATAGTCACTATATATAATAGCAGTATTATAGAAGATTATAGTTATAGAAAGATTGTATATGTAAGTTTTTAAGACTAGAATAGTACTAACATTCTTATATTTTCTAATATAAGCAGTATTAATATCTCTGTATCCAATTTGTAAGATACTTGCTTAAAAAGATAATCAACAGATTATATGAATAAGTCCTAATTAGAATTCAAGAAAAGGATTTGATTAGAAGAGTAATTTAAGAATAACCATAATTGAAATAGTAAAAAAACAATGAATATGAGAATAGTCTGTAAAAAGAATTAATTTAACCAAAATTAGAAGCATTTCTGATATAACTAAATAATCTGACTATAAAAAAAAATCTTAAAAATTGGTATATAACTTCTTTGTATAAAAAAAAACACCAAATTAGAGGATCGTCTAAAGCCAGATAGTAATTTATACATGTCATATAAGTTTTGCTTTATGAATTTATTAGTAATCAATTTAAAAACTATCTGGCTTTAGATAATCTTTAAATTAGGATCTGATCATATTTATATAGAAATCTATAATGAATAAGACTAAGATTAACTAACTAATGTGAGATAAAATTTATAAAGTAGTATAACATTACTAGAGTTAGTATAATTTTTTGGACATAACTAGAATTGTCTTGCAGATATTATTAAATAAACTAGAAGTTTGTAATATATAATAGTATAGTATTACTAGAGTTGAAAGAACTTCTTAAATATAACTAAAATTGTTCTGATTGTAAGTGTAATAAGTTCAATCACTACTATAGAAAAGAGCATCATGTTGAAAGTAATATGCAGCATCAAGTTATTGTATAATATTAAGATCTAAAACATTTATAAGAACAATAACAGTAGACTTAACTTAAGATATGGATTGGTTAAAAAGACTAATGACAGTAGCAGGTCTGACTTGAGATATGAGTTCATTATAGATCCTAGATTATTATCAGAAAAATCTTAGAAAAAACAATAACAAACATACCAAAGATAAAAGATCATAGAAATTATACATATCCAAGTAGGACCAATTTGGAAGTAATACAGTAAAAAAGATGGGAAATGTGAAGAATAAGATATTACTAAATATAGTAAATTAGAAAACAAAAGAAACAAGACCAGATAAAATATGATTACAAAAGACAGTATTTCTGACATTAAGGTACCATATTAAGTTGTAAAAATATCCTTGTCTGTATAGCAACTTAATGATACACTCTAACTGCAAGTGGTGGCTAAAAGTAACTGCGTGCAGGCATGCAGCAGACATGGACTTAGATACCATATAGATAACCAGGTAAAGTTAGTAAAATAGAATTAGAATAACTTAGAATAGCTATATAATACTAAATAATCCTATAACTATAATTGTACTATAAAAATTAAGCCTAATAAACTAACTGGCAGTATTGCCAAAGTTCAAAAAAAAACAAAATGCAATTGTTGTTTTAGATTTAATTTAAAATTAAAAAATGTTGAAATTATTGTTAAAATTGAAAATGAATTTCATTCCCAACTATAGACACAACAGATATATAATATAATATTAAAATTGACAGTTAAATTTTACAAAGCTTGTTCTTTTTATTATTAATTAATTTAAACTTGTTCTTTTAACTTATTAGTACGTTTTTGACTAGCATTAAATTTTTAAAGTATATAAGATAATAAAAATACATAGAAATCAAATTTTTCAAAATATTTTAAAATTAATCAATAACAGACACACATAAATTATTGTGTTTCTTTCATCAAATTGTTTACCTTATTCTTGAGGACGCACCTATCACGTAATTACATTATCATTTTCATAAAACCCTAGACTATATATATGTATTAACAAATATGCAAGATTACTAAATGCATACCACATATATTTAATTATGATATAAAAGCTTATAACAATAACACATACTTTTTGAAGTACGTTGAAGATTTTAACAGAATTTTAATCCTTTGCATCTTCAATTCCGCCTTGTCCGATTGAAAAAGTGGCTTCACCTTCTGGAAGACATGGTGAATCATAAATTTTGCAAATTCGATTATCACCTTTGCCTTTACGTAAATATAATCTGAAATTTTTGTTAATATTCATTAAAATTACAATAAATCAATTTTTATTTCAAAATCAAAATTTTATGACTACCTTGTTGTTGATGCATGTGCAATAATGTTCCCACCAATGGGCTTTTTATCAGAAGCACCAGGAAATAGCATGTTTCCATCGACAGACGCTACAACTTGATTTGTAATAACTACCGCGATGCCAAACTAAGAAATACATAAGTGTGTATATTTATATATATCTCTAAGATTGAACAACAAATAGAAAACTACATACTTCATCAGCTAAGCGAAGTAGACCACGCAGAAATTTTGCCAAATGCATCTGACGTGCAGCAAGTTCACCTCGACCAGAGTAATCAGTTCTGTATAAAGACGTGACACTATCGACAATTAAGAGACCAAATCTAAAAATTATGACTTATTAAAATTAATAAAAAGAAGAATTGGTGTCAAACAAGTAATAAGGTTAATAAAATAGAACCTTGATGTGGCCATCATCGCAGCAGCTTGTATCAATAAATTCATTTGGTGATCAGTGTTATAAGCCCTCGCGACTGCAACGTTATCTAAAATTTGGTTCGGATCCATTCCATAACGTTCAGCAATAGAGGCCAATCTTTCAGGACGGAAAGTACCTTCAGTATCGATGTAAATGCATTTTCCTTCAGAACCACCGTTTTCAACTGGAAGCTTTAAATGTAATAGTAATAATTTAGAAGTCATAGAAAAACAAATTGTATTAATAAAAAAAACCATTACCTGACATGTAACTGCAAGAGTATGACAAAGTTGACTTTTTCCAGTTCTAAATTCACCAAATACTTCAGTAATAGAACCGGATTCAATACCACCTAGTAGGAAAATATAAAAAAGAAATAAGAAATTGCTTAGCTGATATTAAACAATAATAGAAAAAATTTATTACCTCCAAGAAGTTTATTTAATTCAATAGAACCAGTGGTTATATAAACGTATTCGGCCCTTCGTTCCTTTACTTCAGTAGCAGTTTCGAATCCCATTTTAGGAGCTAGTTTAAAAGCTTCAGCTTGAATTTTATCAACTTTTGCTTCAGAAATTCCTTTAATAGTCAACAAAGCTTTTCTAGGAGAGAAGGCTACAGATTGAACAGTAGTGTACCCATTCTCTGAAAGTTTCTTGATATCAGAAGCATTAATGCCATATTGCTTAAAGGTGTAAAAATAACATGTCAGAATGCTCAGAATGCTTATAATGCTAGAAATAAAAACGCGTATAAAACAAGGAAATAGTCGATAATGAACCTCAAGTGTTGAAATTGGTGCATAAATCATTTCTTGCTCCTGTTCTTGTTCTTCGTCTGTGTATTCATCTTCGATAGGTTCTTTTTCATGAGACATCATTAAAGTGAATTTAATAATATAATGAAAGTGTGCTAAAGGTGACAAAAGTGCGAAACGCGTGTTCTTATGGTAATGATTCAGGTCTGTAAATCCGGATCCCTCCGTATAGGTCGGAACCAATAAAATAACGAATATCTTCGTGCAACAAAAATAAAGACAAAAATAAATCGTAGTTAACACAAAATCTTATTATGATAACTTGCTTTTGGCCTCTAAGTAAAACTTTTCAGAATAAAAATTTTACTTATAGACTTTACTCTTCCATACCACAAATAAATAGAAAGCATCTAATATTTAATTATTTAAATTTTGACCAGAGGTCCGGATTTGCAGAACATAAGGGTAACTACATAAAACAACACTTCATATAGGTTTAGGTATTCAAAATTCGATGGTTTAAAATGTCAAGTACAAAAGGCAATAGTTCAACAGATGAAATTACTCAAACCATGAATTTCTTTGATTGGCAAGAATCAGCTGATATGAATGATCCAGATGGAATATTTTGGCTTGGTTATTGTTACGAACATGGAATTGTAGTTGAAAAGGATAAGAATAAGGCATTTATCCATTATCAAAAATCTGCGGAGATGAATAATTCTAACGGAATGTACCAAGTTGGTTATTGTTATTATTTAGGAATTGGGGTTGAAGTTGATAAACATAAAGCATTTGAGCATTATGTGAAGTCAGCCGAGGCCGGTAATTCTATGGGAATTTTTAAAACTGCCATTTGCTATAAATACGGAATTGGTGTAAAACAGAGTCATACTGAGTACCTTGCTTGGATTGTAAAGTATGTTATTGTTAATATTTGGTAACACAGTGAAACCTCCTCTCTAAGTGCACATTGGTAAAGTTCAGCCCAAGAGCGTGCATTTATGAAGTTTCACTGTATATTGAAATCTGTAGAAAATTTTAAACTTATCTTATTATTTTTTAGAGAGTAAGTATAAAGATCAATTATATTAAATATAAAATTATTTGTTTGAAATATTTATGATAATTTATTTTTAAATAATATAATTCAAAATTGTTTTATTCACATTAATCTAATTTGTGAGTATAAAATCATTTATGTATTAATCTAGTAAGCTATTTAAGCTTATAAATATTCACTATTAAATTTCATTTTATTCAGGTTAATATAGTGAGTTAGTATAAAAAATATTTATTAATCTTAATATTTAAAATAAGCTATCCAAGTTCATGAATTTTACTTTTTAATTTATTTAATATACTGCAGTTAGTAAGTATAAAAGAACATTTATTAATAATATAAATATTTAAAATAAGCTATTTTAAGTTTATAAATATTTTTTATTTTAGTTGGTAAGTATAAAAAACATTTATTAATATATATAAGTATTTAAAATAAGTTATTCAAGTTCATAAATATTTACTATTTAATTTTAGTTCGTAAGTATAAAAAACATTTATTAATATAAGTATTTAAAATAGTTTAAAAAATATTCACTATTTAATTTTATTTTAGTCTGTAAATATAAAAAACATTTATTAATATAAGTATTTAAAATAAGCTATTCAAGTTCATAAATATTTATTATTAATTTAATTTCAGTCCGTGAGTATAAAGAACATTTATTAATATAAGTATTTATTTAAAATAAGCTATTCAAGTTCATAAATATTTACTATTAAATTTAATTTCAGTTCGTGAGTATAAAAAACATTTGTTAATATAAGTATTTAAAATAAGCTATTTAAGTTTATAAATATTTACTATTTAGTTTTATTTTAGTCTGTAAGTATAAAGAACATTTATTAATATAAGTATTTAAAATAAGCTATTTAAGTTTATAAATATTTACTATTTAATTTTATTTTAGTCAGTGAGTATAAAGAATATTTATTAATCTAAGTATTTAAAATAAGTTATTTAAGTTTATAAATATTTACTATTAATTGAATTTCAGTTCGTGAGTATAAAAAAGATTTTATTAATACGTATAAGTATTTAAAATAAGCTATTTAAGTTTATAATATTTACTATTTAATTTTATTTTAGTCTGTAAGTATAAAGAACATTTATTAATCTAAAATTTAAAAGAAGCTATTTAAGTTTATAACTATTTACTATTTAATTTTATTTTAGTCGGTGAGTATAAAGAATATTTATTAATCTAAGTATTTAAAATAAGCTATTTAAGTTTATAAATATTTTCTATTTAATATTATTTTAGTCAGTAAGTATAAAGAATATTTATTTATATAAATAAGTATTTAAAATAAGCTATTTATGTTTATAAATATTTATTATTTAATTTTATTTTCAGTCCGTAAGTATAAAGAACATTTATTAATCTAAGTATTTATTTAAAATAAGCTATTCAAGTTCATAAATATTTATTATTTAATTTAATTTTAGTTCGTGAGTACAAAAAAACATTTATTAATATAAGTATTTAAATAAGCTATTTAAGTTTATAAATATTTACTATTTAATTTAATTTTAGTCAGTAAGTATAAAAAATATTTATTAGTATAAGTATTTAATATAAGTTATTCAAGTTTATAAATATTTACTATTTTATTTAATTTCAGTTCGTGAGTATAAAAAACATTTATTAATACAAGTATTTAAAATAAGCTATTCAAGTTCATAAATATTTACTATTAATTTAATTTCAGTCCGTGAGTATAAAGAACATTTGTTAATCTAAGTATTTATTTAAAATAAGCTATTCAAGTTTATAAATATTTATTATTTAATTTAATTTCAGTCCGTGAGTATAAAAAACATTTATCAATACAGTATAGTATTTAAAATAAGCTATTTTAAGTTTATAAATATTTATTATTAATTTTATTTTAGTCTGTGAGTATAAAGAACATTTATTAATATAAGTATTTAAAATAAGCTATTTAAGTTTATAAATATTTACTATTTAATTTTATTTTAGTCTGTAAGTATAAAGAACATTTATTAATATAATTATTTAAAATAAGCTATTCAAGTTCATAATATTTACTATTAATTTAATTTTAGTTCGTGAGTATAAAAAATATTTATTAATATAAGTATTTAAAATAAGCTATTTAAGTTTATAAATATTTATTATTTAATTTTATTTTAGTCTGTAAGTATAAAAAATATTTATTAATATAAGTATTTAAAATAAGCTATTTATGTTATAAATATTTACTATTTAATTTATTTTAGTATGTGAGTATAAAGAATATTTATCAATATAAGTATTTGAAATAAGCTATACAAGTTCATAAATATTTACTATTAATTTATTTTCAGTCCGTGAGTATAAAGAACATTTATTAATATAAGTGTTTAAAATAAGCTATTTAAGTTCATAATATTTACTATTAATTTAATTTCAGTTCGTGAGTATAAAGAACATTTATTAATATAAGTATTTAAAATAAGCTATTTAAGTTTATAAATATTTACTATTAATTTAATTTCAGTTCGTGTGTATAAAGAACATTTATTAATATAAGTATTTATTTAAAATAAGCTATTCAAGTTCATGAATATTACTATCTAACTATCTAATTCTTTTATTCGCATCAACTAGTCGGTGAGCATAAATTCTTTGCATTTAAATTTAAGAGTCCTATAAATAAAGTGAAATGACTAATATAACGTAATTGATAACGCAGAAGTTCAAGTTATGGAAAATGTGCACGTTGTAATAAAGACAATACTTCTAAAGCGTGGTGTCAAACATGTGATCCTGACATAACAATTGAAGGATGGACAAGTGGAAATAAGGATATTGATAATTGCATAAAAAAGTTCCAACTTAGAACTTATAATTATGAATATATGATTGAGTGGATTCCATTTAATAGATTAATTATTAAAAAAGAAATAGGCAAAGGAAGATTTGGCTCCGTATTTTCTGCAATCTGGTTGGATGGTGTTCGAAAGATCCAGAAAATTGAGAAAACCGATAGCGATGATAGCAATACTGATGACGATAATTATTATGTGAGAGCCCGGGAACCATCTTACACAGTTGCACTCAAACCCTTGCCTGGTTCTAAAGATAATCCTCGTGATTCTTTAAAAAAAGTAAGTTAATCATTTATTGTGCGGTTTATTAAACGCCTATTGAACTAATTACATGCATTTATACAGTTTGACAATCGTATGAAATGTACACTTGCGGGCAGCAAGCTTAGGATATACGGTTTGACACAAAATACAGAAACAAATGAATACTTGATGGTATTTCAATATGCTGATAATGGAAATCTTAACAAGTTTTTAAGAACAAATTTTCGTGACCTTACTTGGCAAACTAAATTAAATCTACTCAAAGATATTTCCGGCGAGTTATATTTGATTCATAAAGTAGGATATATTCATACAGGTCTTCACAGTGATAATATTTTGCAAGATGAAGGCATTAATAAAAGTATGCAGTCTTATATATCAGATCTAGATTTATCTAAAGTGGAGGATGAAAATAATTCAGGTTATATTTATGGAATCATGCCTTATATCGCTCCAGAAGTCTTATTAGGCCAAAAGGTTACAAAGGCCGTCGACATTTATAGCTTTGGTGTCATTATGTCAGAGATGTCAACTGGACAAAGACCTTTTGATAGTTTTGAATTTAATGAAGATCTTGCAATAAAAATTTGTACAGGACTGCGGCCTGAATTCTCTCCTGGGACTCCAGATTGTTATATTGAATTAGCTATACAGTGCATGGATTCTGATCCACGAAAGCGGCCTACTGTTAAAGATGTTAACTATAAACTTGGTGATTGGGATACAAGCATGAAAAGTGTAGATTATGCAGATGAAATTAAAAGGCAATTTTTAGATGCAGATAAAATCGTTAAAGAATTGCCGATTATTTTACCAAAGCATTCTGATTTTATGTATATTAGCAGAATTATCAACACTCTATCCCCACGACAAATTCAACAATTTTTTCAAAAGCAAATAGGAAATTTACAAAACCAATTGCAAGCCGCAAAAACTGAAATTACTAATTTAAAGCAAGAAAATCAGAATCTAGAAGCTACTAATACTCTTTATGCACAACAAATAAAACTTATTGATCCAGAAAAAGAAAAATTAAATGCTCAATTAGTTCAAAATAAAATTGAACAGTTAGAAACCCAAAGAAAACTTAATCAGCTAGAAGTTGAAAAGCAAGATTTAAAAAATAGGTTAGCACACACTAAACAAACTATTCAAAATTCCAAATTTCAAAAAGAACAATTCGAGAAGCAGTTAGAACGTGCAGAAACAGGATTCCAAAAAACAGAAGAATTGCTAAAAACACTTTTACAATCTAAAGAACAACTTATTAATAAAGAGAAAGTAGAGAAGGAAAGATTAGAAACAGAAATAACTAGATTAAGCAAAGAATTAGCACAACAAAAAGAAAAAAAGAAACAATTAAAAGCAGATCTAAAATCCTGTGAAATCAAACTAAATGATTTAGAACAGCAATTATTTAACCTTGAGCAGAAACGTGTTAGACAATTAAAAGCAAAGCAGGAAGAACTAAAAGAAACTAAAAAAAAATTAGAATATCAACTAGCTTTTACAAAAGATAACACCGCACCCCTCCATAAAGAATTAAAGGAACGGGAACAAGAGTTAAAAGAAACAACAAATGAGCTAAAGAAAGTTCAGGAAAAGGATTTAGATCAAATTAAGAATTATTTAGGAGTTAAAAAAGTTTTTCTTAATGCTCGAAAAATAACAATTAAAGGATTACAAAATTGCTATAACAAACTCAAAAGCAATAAAAAGCATACTAAAGTCGACGAGATAAGTAATCTAATTGTCGCAGTAGGTGGGGTAGCAAATTCTCTAACTTTCGGAATTCCCAAAGCTTTCGGAGACACAATTAAGGCAATAAACAAATCTTTCGAAAGAAAATTTTCAGATAGATGGGCGGATGAATTTAAAAACTTTTTAGACAATGACAGAAAAAATTTAGCTCTACTCAATAAAATAATCGAAAAAATTGCCTGCTACTTAACCCGCATTATCCAAGAAAAAAGCATGTCGAAACTTAGTTTAGATGTTATTGTTGCATTAGATTTAAAAGATAAATTAAATAATGGAGAATTAAAATTATTTAATATTAAATATAAAATCTTTGAAATTGATAGTAGCATTTGGGAAGGCAAACCCTTTTCCAAGCCTGAGGAAATGGAAAAGGCCATTACCTTGCTTAATGATAATTTTGAAAAGTTAGAAACACAATTAGCACAAGAAGAAAACAAATTTAAGGAAATTATTAATAAAGCGTCGGAGAAAATAGTTTGATTAGTAAATACATATACAGATTTCCTTCGATTGAAATATTTAACATGAATAGAACATCTGAGACCCAACCTTTAAAACATACAATACAAGAATGTTTTTAATCGATACATTAGAAATATTGAATTGATTTATTTTTTAATTGAAGACGAGAATACTATTACCATATTCCTCCAAATTAAGCACCTCGAAATAGGCACCTTCTGTATTATTAGGTATATATAGGCAGTTAAATATCAGTCTTCTCATCGGATTAATAGTTGAGATACTACTCAAAAATAAGCATCGCTCTAGTAAAACATGGGTGTTAAATTAAAACCCCGATAGGTTTCCCACGTTAAGTTAGTAATAGTTGCAGTTTAGGACATTTATTCTTCGAGATTTTGTGATTTTGACCAAAACACACCCTTTTTTTTTTGGTTTAATGTTATCCATGTTTATGCTTTATATTTCTCTTTAATAATAATTCTTTATGATGTTCTTGTTACTCCATTATGATATCCAAATCTAATGAAATAAAGTTAATTCAAAGTCAGTTATTGCATTTTAAATTGGTATTTCTATTAAAATTCTGCTTATACTTTTTTTTTTTTTTTTTTAACTGAGACTCGGTATCCAGACATCGGACCTGATGAACCAGGAACCATACATCTCAATTCAGCAAAGTATGACTTGAAAGTTTTCATTTTGCTTTCCTCAACTCCAGCGAATTAAAAATTAAACTTACCTAGTATCATACATCTCAAAAATTCAGTAGAGTGTGGCCTGAAGGCTTTCATTTTGCTTGCCTCAACTCCAGCCGGATGTGATGAATCATACAATTACTTCGATAAGTGAATAATGAGTATTTACATTCAATCAGTTCTTGTGAAGAAATTAGTAAATCCAACTCCAGTCAATTAAAATAAACTCACCTAGTATCGCCACCAAAATCAGGTGTATACATTGGCACGAAACAAAATCACGAAATTATTGAAAAAAAAGAAATTATCTAAGTTTTTTATTCGAATTATTCATTGAAGAACTTACTTGATTATTGCTTCAAACTTTAAATCGAATTACATTCAAATTCGAACAATAAAATGTATTTACATCAAAGAATATTTGATTTATTTATTTATTTTTTTAAGTAAAATTTCAAATTTAAATTAATGTTATCAGTTATTTTGCTCGTTCGAAATCTTTAATATTATCTACCGTTTTTTGAATAGGTATGGCATTTTATTTAATACTTTCAGGTCTTTTTTTTTTAGTCTTGAAAAAATTAGTAGACTTTCCAAGATAAATCACAAGCTTAAAACAATAATAATATTATAATAACATTAATGTATAATCATTTAAATATTATAGTAAATAGCAAAATAAAAATAATTTTTATACATATTTTATAAGTTTGCTTGCATTTTTTTTGATTCGAATTCATCCTCATATATTTGGATTACCCGATCGTTAAATTGACTTGCGTACAATTAATTAGATCCGACATTTGAATGTTTTTCATAACATTTCTTAGTAGAAATGTTTAAAAAATAATACGCCCGAAACTACCTTTTATGAGTTCGGTAAACTAATTTACTTTAGCGACGGATAGGTTAGACAATTGATAACAAATACTATGTTTATGCTTAAGTAAAATATCAGGTTACGCGTTAAGAGTTATGGTGATTTGCAGTTACGAAAGAGAAGATACATGAAGTCGTATAACAAGTTTATTATTTATTCAATAAAGTATTTGAGTTACTCGTGTATAAAGACACGATTACTTTTTATTTATTGTTGAGTTGTTAATCGTCGAACTGGACTGTTACTTTACAAGAAAAATAGTGACTATTCATACATTTCAGACTTTTACTTTAATTTCTACTAGCTGTACTATTTCTAATATTTCTATTGATTCTAATAAAACTAATACTTTCATTTGAACTAGTATTTCTATTATGCTTAGTTTTAGATTGAACATCTGTTAGAAATAATAGATTTAGTAGCTTTGTAACACCTTACGGTTAATATATTACAGGGTATTAAATTACAGGGGTTAATAGTACGATAATAAACTTATAGAAAAACGATGCATCCATCTTTCTAAGAGAATTAGCTTCATCTGTGCCACTCTCTTTTAATTCGTTAATTATTTGAATAATATCTACAATAGTCTCGAGATCCATACGTTCAAGCACTTTAGATTTTATAGTATTTTATGTTTTTTGAAGTAAAACTATGGGTTTCAGAATTCGACAATATGAATAAAATACAGTATTATTAATAAATATATTAAATGTTTAATGTCAGTAAATATTCTTTTCATGTAGAAACGGAAAACAACTCCAAAGTAAATAACATGATCATGAATTAAAGATTCATTTTTATAACATTTAACATCAAGGATTGTTTTTAAATCATTTTGTGATTATATGTATTGAAAGTGGTCCATTTTAGGTTAGAGTTTTATAACCTAATAATAGATAATACTAAAGTACGCACATAAGAATTTCTCAGACATTCAAATTAATGGATGACGGAATTTATGACCTCATCCATTAGATATGACGTTTTAATTGCTACATATTTAAGTATTTTTTTTCTGCGTTAAGTAGTCATTTCTTCATGTCTTTTCTTAACATTGAGTCAATCAATTGCCATGTCGAAACCAAAAAATGAACAACCACAAGAAGTCAAAGATAGTAAGATTGGTGTGGAAAAAACACTAAGAATTAATAAGACTTTGAAACCCTCTTTAATGGCGGTTGACGAACGTGAACCATATCAACCACCGCAAGATGTCAATAATGACAAAAAAGGATCAACCATAAAGGAAACTGTTAATAAAGCATTTTCTGGTCTTCAACTAGATAAAGACGTTCACAGGTGCTTGTATACAAAAAGGCATATTCTAATATCGTGTAAAGCATTTAAAATTTTTTTCATCTACAAATAGTGAACTACGAGGTCCTCATGGATCCGATCATCAACAAGCAAGTGGATGGGCTCTAGGTGCCGACAGAAGTCAACAGGGTGATATAAACCTTCCTTATACCGAATGATTCTATTTGTAAATTTCCCTGATAAATAATTATAAATGAATATAGCAGTCATTATATATTTCATGTTAAGTTTTTACATATCAGGCAGTAGAAGTAGTACGACGTACCTTCATGCGCACAATCAAACTAACTTTAGATTTGTGCTAAATTCAAATTTTTCATTCAATTCAATTAGCAATCCAATATTTAATAAAGAGAAATCGTTAGTCACTTAGTCGACTTAGTCAATCACTTACAGTCCCGTATGCTTCATTTCAAAATAAAGGCGTATGTCAAAGCTGTTAATGTATATTATTCAAAGTTCGTGTTAGTTTGGAGCGTATGATATACATGGGTGTCTAAATTACGGATTATTTATGGGAGACGACGTGGCGAAATGTTTTTAATATTTTGCTATTTCCATGATGCTTCAAATAATTGTTGACAAATTTTTTTTGCATGCCGAAATTGAGATATTTTGTAGCTATCGATATTATCATTCGCAGAATTTGACCCTTATTTAAGTTACCAAATCAACTAGACAAAGCTATTTTATATAAAGAAAACATTTTATTAATAAACATCTTCACATAAAAATATTCTAAGACAAGTTTCATTTATTTGGTAAAAAAATTTCATAGTTTTTATTTTGTGAATTATTTAATTTAAAACAAAAACAGCACAAAAATTCTAATTAATCATTAATATTTTTTTTTCGTGTGAACCTACAGAATTAATAATGTAATACAAGTTAGTCATTGAACAGTCATTCAATGTTCAGATCACACCATGAGAAAATTTGCATTCTGAGATCCAAAATTGGGTGCTTTAATAAAAAAATTTTTCAAGTCTACAAAAAAAGAGTTAAGGGGAATAAATGTTTCATTATTTTTTAACTCATTTATTTTCCTGAATTTTTTTTGTTTAAAAAAAAAAATCTTGAAATAATAAAATATGATCCAATGATATACCAGTCATCGATAAAATGATTCGCATTTTTGGCCCCTGATAGAGAATCAATTGTAAACAGAAAGAGAGACCCCATAAAAAGAATTATTGCTACTAAGTGTGAAATGTATCATTATAATTTCTTAGATCTTTGATTTCAATGCAAAAAAAAAAGTATCCCGAATCTTTTTGAGAATGAATTTTGTATTATGCCGAATGCTTTAAACGACGTCACTATTTCAGAAACGTTATATGTATTTAAAAAAAAACAATCCTCAAATTCACTAGTGCAGTAATACCCTCAAAATTTATATGGTTCTGGAAGTCTATACTTATTGGTTACATAAAATGTTTCAATTGTTTAAATGATTATAACTTTTTATCTAAGGTTTAAAAAAATCTGATTGATAATTTTATAAAGTTATATCAGCTCCACGTATGTGCCAATATCTTTTCAAAATCTCATCATTGTAGAGAGTTGATGCATTTTAAAAATTGAAATTTTATATATAAATTTATAAATTTACATATAAAATTTCAATTTTTAAAATG